AGGTAAGAGGAAGCTATCTTTGGGGCAGGCTCGATTGAGGTCGATAAAATTGATGTAGAGTCACCACTTGCCATTGGTCTTCTTGACCAGGACCACGTTTGCTAGCCAAGTAGGGTAATCTACCTCCCTAATGGCTTTGGCATGGAGGAGCTTATTGACCTCCTATTTAATGGCCTTTTGGTGCTCTAAAGCAAAACTTCTTCGCTTTTGTTTAATGGGCTTACAAGCTGGGTTAACGTTGAGTTTGTGGGTGATGACTGAGGGGTCAATGCCTTTTATGTCTTCTTGCTTCCAGGCAAACACTTCTACATTTCTTTTCAGGAACTGGATGACGAGATCTTTAATTTCCCTGCTTAGCCTGGACCCCCACTTAAACAAGGTGATCTAGCTCCCCGTCAAGCTGAATAGGCTCCAGCTCCTCTTATGGCATTGGCCTGGTGTTTAGCTCATCCCTTATGTCGATCTCGTCTAACTGGATATTGTCAACTTCCCTCCTTTTCACAGATGCCATGTAGCACTCTTGTGCTACATGTTGGTCTCCTCGAACCACTCAATCCCATTCTCTGCAGGAAACTTCATGACGAGGTGGTAAGCAAAAGGAATGGCCTTCATGGCATTGAGGGAGGGCCTTCCAAGCAAGATATTATACGCTGAAAGTGCATCCACCACTAGAAATTTCACAATGGTGGTGGCCTGGCAAGGAGGGTTTCCTAGGGTGAGCACAAGTTGGATTGACCCTAGGGGCAGCACTTTTTCCCCCGAGAAACCTAGTAAATGAGTACTTATTGGCTCGATTTTGTCTCTGCCTATCTCCATTTTGTCAAACGCAGGTGCAAAAATGATGTTTGCAGAGCTCCCATTGTCAATCAGAACTCTATGGACAGTTCTATTGGCAACGACTGCTCTTACTACCAAGGGTTCATCGTATGAAAACTGGCAACCTTCCAAGTCTGTATCTAAAAAAGTGATAGTTGTGTTCAGTCGTAGCAGCTTGGACATCGTATACACTTCCAATGCCTTGTCAGTTCTGATTCAGCACAGATGAGCCTTTCTAGCTAAACTGGACTCTCCATCTCCTGTGAATCCTCTAGATATCACCCTGAGCTCCCCTAAGGGCTATTGATGTTGTGCAAGGTCTTGCTGCTGAGGTGCTAGTGGTGGCGAAGCTCGGTTCTAGTTTTCATGGGCTACAAAATATCGCAACTGCCCTCGTTGAATCAAGAACTCAATTTCCTTCTTCAATTGGATACAATCATCTGTGAGGTGTCCGTGGTCCCTATGGTACTCACAATATTTCGTTGCATCCCTTTTTGCCTAGTCTACTTTCATCCGAGGTGGCCATCTAAGGAATTTCTCATTTTGGACGTCATACAGGACCTGAGATACTGTAGTCGTAAGCGGTGTGAATTGTCGAGGTGCATACCTCGGTTGTAATTCTAGTTGTGGTGGACCCAAGCGATCTCTGACATTCCCCCTTCTTTTGGGGGAACGATCTCGGTCTCTTCTTGGAAACTTGTCTCATTCTCTCTCTTTCCTAGGACTTTGGTCCCTCTTCTTCTTTTCCTTCCCTTTCTCCTTCTACGAGTATGAGTTCCCTACCTTAAAGAGAAGAGCTTCTTCGCCGTTTATGTACTTCTCTGCTTTAGCGAGAACCTCGGCCATGCTTGCCTAAGGATTCTTCGAGATGGAGAACATCAAATCTTTTGATTGCACACCTAAAATGGCTATGAAAGCGATGATAGCAAACTTCTCATCTGGGACATCTACCTTCAAAGACTTCGAGTTAAACCTTTAAACATAAGACCGTAGGTTCTCGTGGGATCCCTATTTCACATTTAACAGGTGCTAGCTTGACTTTCTGTAAGCCCGAGCCCCTATAAAATGGGACACAAAAGAAATAGATAGCTCCTTAAAGGAGGAGATCGAGGCTAGGGGAAGCCTGTTAAACCATGTCAAGGCTGACCCCTTCAATGTAATGGTGAAGGCACGAAACACACTGGATCTTGATATCCATGTAATTCCATCTAATTTTTATAAGTATTGAGGTGGTCCATAGAGTCTTTCGTCCCATCAAAAGCTTCTACCTGTGGCATTTTGAATTTCTATGGAAGGGGGAAATGTAACACCCCGGGAGTGAATGGGGACTCGGTTTGCTGCACCAAGGCATCCATGGTTATAGGATTTTTACTCCTTACGGCCTCCTTCATGTGACTGAGCTCCTATTGGATATCTCTAAAGCGCTATTCCCAATTTTGGTCCTTTCGTTCCTGCTGGACAAGGCAAAAATGGTTCTTCTCATTCTCATTGCTTTGACTTTGCTCTTCTTCATTGTCACTGTTCTTAGGAGGCGGCTGAGGGGCCTGACTATTTTCTCCTCCTTCGTTAGCTTTTCTATGGGGGTCGAGGTATTTTTGCTCCCTACGAGGGAGATCATTCTGGTCTCCCTGGTCTGGTCATGTCTCCTGCGACCGTCGCAAAAACTTCAGGAGTTCTTCATTCTACTATAGCAAGCATTGATTGGCTAAGCAAAAGGCCTCCAGTTCATTGTTCATATGGGGGATTCGCCATAGGAGGGTTAACCTCGACAGTGGGGAAAAACTTTTAAGGATCCTCATGTTGTCTGCCGCTAGTGCCGTCCTGTTGGTTCTGTATCCACGGGGGATTCACTTGGCTTCTGCTCATGTTACCAGTTGAAACCATCAGTTACTGAAGGATTAGTGTACTGGTAACGAGAACAATCATTCCCATAGACGACGCCAAACAAATGGTGTATACTTATCGTGGACGAGCAAGATATGTGTCTATTCAAATAAGTTCAGAATTGAGCTATTGGACTTGTGAATTATATGGGGGGAATTTTTTTAGGGGATTGGTGTTGTGCACAATGAATGTATAGTGGTTCACCAGCTCCGGAGCTTGACTAATTCACTCTTCAATGAAGATTCTTGCTCTAAAGATTTGTGTTGATGGGGAATGTGTTTTACAGAGGATTGTTTTTACAATTTAGGGTTCTCCTGCCTCCAATGGAGGCACTATGCAGTATTTATAGTACAATTCCTATCTTTAAGGGATCTGCAGCGAGATCCCTACTTCTTCTATGCACGTCCCCCTTGATTTTAGGAGGGGATCCTAGTTAGTTGAGGGTTTTGTGCCTTAACTATAGCTTTTCATTGTTGCTAGGGGGGCGTTTGCATCCTACCAGCTTTTTCCTTATCACCTTCTTTTTGCTTCTCCTAGAGGGAGCTATAGGTATGGACCCCTGAGCTCTAGGTGTCTGGTCTGACCTCCTGGCATGACCTCCCTACCCGAGGTCATCCTTACCTAAAAATTCTTTCTAGGTATAATCAGATACTATTACTCGTGCGTGTACTAATCGAAGCTTGGACTTACCAACTTGAGTTATTACACAAATCACACTAGCATCTGTTATAAATTATGGTTAAATTACACTAATAGCTCTCGAGGTCTATCACTTGTTATACTTTAGTCCTTAAATTTATAATTCTGTCAATTTGATCTTCTAAGTTCACAAATTGAGACAACTCGTCCTTCGCACTAACTTCCATCCAAAAAACAAACGGGGAAAGGCACGTGCACGGTACATAAAGATAATTGAAGGACATTTATGTCATTTAAAAATTAAAAAATATAATAAATTGAATACTCGTGCAATATATATTTTTATACATAATTGTGTACGAGCTCAAAAGACATCTCACAAATTTACCCCCCCCAAAATGAAGACCTCTCAAAGACTCTCTCTCAATCTCACTCTACAATTCTCTCTCTCTCTCTCTCTAACTAGGGCCGCCCAATAGGTAGGTCAACTAAGCAGCCGCTAAGGCCTGAAAAAAAGATGGCCCCCAATTATATATGTAGTTGTCACCTATTTGTCATATATTATTGTTCTATTCTTATTTAAACTTCTCTTAGTATAACTGTTTATTGTTTTAACACTTTTCTTTACATACAAGAATTTTAGGTTTTGAATATGTCAATTGTAAAAATATGAATCTAAATATTAAAAGCTTAAAACTTGAATAAGATATACTAACAAAATGTGAAAATAAAAAATTAATTACTAATTTTACATTACAAAAAATGAGAATAACAAATTTTAAATGAAATTTAATCGTATGTTAAAATTATATTTATAATAAATTTTTAAAAGGTCCCATTTATAATTTTTGCTTAGCACCTCATCTTTTGTCAGGCCGGCCATGTCTTTAAGCCCTTGCATTATTCCATCACCACCACTTGCAACATCCGCCTCCCCATCACCATTGAAATCAACCAGACCCCCTCCCCACCGAACACTTTTTTTTTTAGTACATTGGAAAATTAAAAAATTGGGTTAGAAGATCCACCGACGAGCAATGGTGCATGGGTGTAAGGTTTATGAAAAAATACCAGATATGCCCTTTCATAGTTGCATGTATTATGCACATCTTTTTTCCGTTTATTTTTTGGAAGGAAGTTAGTATAAAGGACAAGTTGTCTCAATTTGTGAACTTAGTGGGTCAAATTAATAGAATTATAATTTTGCGGACTAAGTACAAGAAGTGATAAGCTAGAGGGATTATTAGTGCAATTTATCCAAATTATAAGAATTATGAAGTCAACCATTCATCAAACATTGCAACTTAGTATTAATGGAATTGTTAGAATGAAACCACATTATTAGGTCAGACATATTAAATTTGGTTAGATTTTAGGTTCAAATAGAATTACTAGTAAACTATAGATTGCAAGAGGGTTAGAAGCCTTTGAGTTCCATTTAGATTAGAGGAGGAGGAGCACTTTCAGATCCGTTCTACATCAAGGAGGATTGAAGATAGGTCGAATCCTTATGTTGTAAACTGAACTCGTACTAGCATATGAGAATTGGAGGAGTCACAGTCACAGCACCAAGTTAAAATCTACAAGAAAGAATTACAATTTTTAATTTAGGCACCCACATTTATTATTGAGGAAGGGTTGAGTTTAACTGTTTGGAAAAGATGAATGGTATTGGTAGGTATGTTCTGGTTTTGCATTTTCTGTTTGAGGAAGGGCTGAGTTTAACTGTCATCTCTTTTTTAACTAGGAAGAGGAGCTATGAGCCTGTGAGGGATGGCAAGTTTCCCAAGAGCAAATGAATCAGCTCATATTTCGATTGAGATGAAAATAAAAGGAATGCTAGAGAGCTAATCTCCCCTGTCATCTGAGTGTTGTATCTATAGAGCTCCTGAGAAACTCCGCAAAGTAAATGGAAATGGAAAAGCCAACACACCTCGTGCAGTATCAATCGGCCCTTTTCACCAAGGGCAAAAGAACTTGCAAGCCATGGAAGAGCATAAATTAAGGTACCTAGAGAGTTTACTACACCGGACAAGATTGAACTTGGGGCAGTATGTTGAACACGTGAGGACATGGGAGAGAGATGCCGTAATTGTTATGCATAAACCATTGATCTAAGTAGTGATGAGTTTGTGAAAATGTTAGTTATGGATGGAAGTTTCATTGTAGAGCTACTCTTGAGATCCGCCCACATTCGTGAGGGAAAAAATCTTAGTGATCGCATATATTCTAGCCCGTGGCTGATTGATGATCTGGGGCATGATATGATATTGCTTGAAAATCTGCTTCCATTCATTGTTCTCAAGAGTATGCTTAGCCTAGTCGTTGATCATAACCTCAAGGAAAACCCTTCCATGCTTAAGCTCACTTTTGAACACTTTAAGAGTTTTTTGACTTTACATAGATATCCTGACAATATAACCCCAACAGAAGTAAAGCATTTTCTCGATTTCTTGAGATACTGTCATTTGCCTTCACCATCGAAAAAGGGGCAAAAGGGAGGTCTAGCGATTGAATTCTCTCCGAGCACAAAAAGACTTAATGAAGCTGGCATCAAGTTTAAGGAAGGGGAAAACAGTTGTTTACTTGATGTCAACTTCAAAAGTGGAGTTCTTGAAATCTCAAATTTGGAAATAGATGACTTGACAAAAACTTTGTTCTGAAATCTCATTGCCTATGAGCAATGTCACTGCAATGAAAAGTAAATAATCCACTACACGGCCCTCCTCGATAGCATGATCAACACTCCTAAGGATGTGGAGTTACTAATCGACCATAAGATCATCACAAGCCGGTTGGGAAGCAATGAAGATGTGATGATACTATTCAACAATATCTGTAAAGAGTTCATTTTTGGTCACGACGTCTATTTTCGCAGTCTTGGCCAGAACCTGAACACATATTGCAGGACTCCTTGGCACAGGTGGAAGGCAAATTTGAAAAGAGACTATTTCCATACTCCCTGGGCAGCTGTTTCGGTTGTTGTTGTTGTTATACTTCTCATGCTTACTTTTATACAGATTGTGTGCTCTATTAAATCAGTATAATTTCCTACCTCAAAGCTTTATGTAGATTCATTCATGGTCTTTGAAATGAATAGTTTGTGATAATGAGTATTTCAATCAGTGTACTTTTTATTTTTTTTTGGGTCATTAGTCAGCGTATTTAACTTCTGATTTGTTCTGTTATATATTGTTCTTCCATGAATTTAACATAATAGGGGTGCAAGTTGGGCAGATCAACCTAAATTTAACCCCATCCTAGCTTGAAAACCTTTAATATTTGGACCGACATTTTCCATACTCAAGATTGGACTTGGGCAAAAAAATCTCAAGTTGATTTAATTCAGACAGTAGTTGGGTTAGGAACTTACATTCTATAGACTCAAATCGAATTAGAGAATTCGAGTTCAATCTAAGGTGATGTGAAATGAACCCAAGTTCTAGACTTAGATTTAGATTCAACCTAAGGTGAACACGAATGTATTCTAGCTCGATTACTAAAACTCGAGAACCAAACTGGAATTGAACCTGAATTACAATCTTTAATTTGTATAATCCATGGTCAGCTGAGTTCAAAAAGTTAAACATGGGAAAAACTCAAGTTAAAAGGTTCAGATTAAATTTAAGTTCGGGTTGAACTTGAATCGAAGATTTTATACTTTAGGTTGATAGTAGCTGCTAGCACCTTGAATATGCCCAAGGTTGAGCTCGGTGACTCAAGTCATGCTCTCTTAGTTTGGGAGCTCAGTTGCTTACAGACCTCGAACTCTTTGCATCTGCATCTCAAGGAAGGCAGCATAAAAGACAACTTGTTTCCATCAAGCATCCCCTCGATAACAACAGTCGCTTATCCAGGCATAAGAATCGTAACTTACCCGGTGCTCTCCACAACGGTTGTGGAATAGTAGCAACTGTTACAAAGAGGAGCAAGGATCATGCCAAGGATCAAACGAAGCTCAGGGCCATCTATAAATAAGGGGAATAACCCCCAGTAATACAAACAAGCAATTGTAGCCTAATTGAACACTCTGTGTAAATCTCCCTTTTATTAATATATTCCCCATGAGCAAGAGACTCCCTTGGGAGTGGATTAGCTGAGCTCCTGAGCTGGTGAACCACTATAAACCTTCTGTGTATTATCTTATTCCCCTGGTCCAATTCTCAAAGAGCCTAGAAGCTCAGACTGAATTACACAGTGTCCATTAAATCCATAATTCTGCTCTGTCGTGCTATAAGCATCATCAGTTGGCGCCATCTGTAGGAACGATTGTTCCTATAAAAATTCTACTTATGTTCTTCACTAATTGATGGTTTCTATGCGCAATATGAGCAAAAATCAAATGAATCCCCTTCGATTACAAAACCAACAAGAAGCTATTGCCGGAAGACAGCAGGAAAATCTTCATGATTTCTTGCCTACTCTTGATGTCAATCCTCCCATGGTGGATCCCCCTTCGAACAACTAGCTTGAGACCCTTCACCTAGCCAACCAGCGTCTCTTCCAGCAGAATGAAGAGTTGTTGAGCCTCTTCCAACAACCCCAAAGGGCACAACCAGCCTAGGATCCACAAGGGGAAACAGCAACACATCAACCCCTGAAAGACATTACCGAGGGGGATGAGCGTAGCCAGAAAGTGGGCAATGCCCATCGTCAAGCTCATAGGAATGAGGACAACAAGAAAGTACAGAGTTAGAACAGGGGAACCTAAAAGAATGAATTCTCCTAACATCAGCAGGAGAGAAAATAACAGTATTGGGAGCAACGCTTCAAGGAAATTCAATAAGAGCTTAGCCACATGAAGGGGGCTGTAAGAGGCAAAACCCCAATGACTATGGCCATCTTAGTTCAGCAAACTGAGTCTCCCTTTACTGCACAGGTGCTTCACTTCCCCCTTCCACCAAAGTTCAAAATGCCTCAGATGGAGACCTTTGATGGGACAAAAGATTCCATGGACCATCTCAATACCCTTAAAAATCAGATGGAGCTCCATGGGTATCAAGACCTAGTACGTTGTCGAGCTTTTGCCATCACATTCAAAGGCTCAGCCTTAGTATGGTTCAATAGGCTAACCTCAGCATCCATCTCCTCCATTAGGGAGCTTGCCATCTCATTCGTTTCACACTTTATAGGAGCTCGGACTTATCGAAAGTCAAGCTACCACTTGTTGAATGTAAAGCAGGGACCCAATGAGCCTCTACGAGGCTACATTTAGAATCTTTGAAAGTAGACGTCCCCTAATGAAAAAATTTGCCCTCGTATTCATTGTCGAGCTAGGTGTCCAATCAAAGGACTTGATGTTCTCCATTTCCAAGAACCCACA